CCCGTGGGTCGGTCTATCATGACGTGTTAGTAGATGATCTCCGTCTGGCTCTTCTGTCTGATCTCAAAGTGGATTGCTGGTCGTCTAAAGTGCTCATCATTTTGCGTTGGTTGGGCCATGAGTGGCCGGCGTGTGACTCCGTTTCTCAGAAGGTAGATGTATACTCGTCTCAGTTGATTCGAGTGGGTGAGGTTCTGGAGAGGTTATCTGCGTTCCTTTTAAGTGACTGGGATCAGTTCAGCCAAGGGGGTGATCCGCGTGTGTTCCAAGGTAAAGGGGTTTCGCTTTGCAGGTATCATAACTGGATGGGCTCCCCTTCACCAGCAAGAGAGGGCTCCGATCCCACAGGCTATTTGCGTGTTTATTTGCCGGCCAACCAGTTGCGTATGGTTGCCAAATTCCGTCTTTGTTGTTGGCCTTTGGAGGTCAACAAAGGACACCATAGGCCGAGAGAGTGCCGTACGTGTCAGGTCTGTACGTCGGGTAAGGTTGAGGATGAATACCATGTGCTCATGGAGTGTGAGGCGTATACTGAGTTGCGTAATAGGTTTCTGATTAACGTTGAAGATACTGATATGCGCAAGGTATTTCTTAATACCAATCCGAGGAAAATCGCTACTTTCCTTACTGAGGTTTTTGATGAGCGTCAACAGCGTGCTCTGGAGCCTCACGGCTCGTGAGGGCACCCGCCGCGTCGGCGGCGGAAATACTGTAACCACAATACAATAAACCGGAAGCGGAGTCCTGCTTGTTTGTTGGTCATCACACACACAGACACACATACACACATACACACACACATATTTGCTGTGGATCAAATGCGGATGACTTGGCAGCATCTGTACGACTGTACCTCGTACAGCAACACACCACGGTGACGATCCAGTGCCAGGCTAGCCCAGTCTCGCAACGTAAAGCGGTGGTCCAGATCCTCCAGTCGAGTAGCCAGGGAGAGGCATGTGAGGGCCAGGAGCTGCATCATGCTGTGGGGAGGAGGCTGCGCCTGCGGGAGAGGTTTTCGGGATTTTTTTGAAAGTCATCAGATGTGAAGAAGGGGGATTCTACGCGGACAGCGGAGGTTTTAGGGCAATGGGTTTTGTATTGTAGTAGCTGCAAACAATTTTGGAAGGCCGGCGGACTGCCTTGTTTTCTCTAGTTCTGTTGTCTCCCTGGGTGGTCTGTCCGCATGCAAAGGCAGAGCAGGCAGTCGCCAATGTACTACTAGGAACAATACTACTGATGATCAGTAAATGCACTTGCTCTAAACTACTTTTGCTGTACCAATAACTAGCAGTAGCAGTAACAGTACTAATATTAAGATAATGTAAATAACAAAAATAATACTTCGGGCCTATTTCCAGTGCGAATTAAGGGTCGGGATTAGCGCGTTGATCCCGGCGCTGATCCCGGCGCAGTGGAAACTCCCGAGCTTTTACACTTTAGCAGAAGGCGGTACCTCAACGCCCGAATACCACAACTTGCTTCGCTGCGCAGTGCACTATAATAATAAAAGATGATGCCCCGCTCATACCTGTTTATCCATGTAGCAATCGAACAGCTCAACGGCTAGACAGAGCGTGGCAGGTGAAAGTCGAAATGCGGCGGCTACCTCCACCATCCAGCTAACCACAACAGAACGCACATGTTGCTGTTGCTGTAGCTCCAACTGCTGCTGCAGCTGCTGCTGCTTCTCCTGATCCGTCATAGTGGCGGCGGCGGCGGCGGCTGCGGAGAAGGAAAAGCAGGACGGGGCGGCCAGCTGGTGACCGTTGCCGTGTTGCGATGGCTGCAGATCGGGTGCAAAGGCGGACCTCTCCCTCGCCATCGTCATCGCCATCATCGACACTGTTGCCATGGGCTTAAACCTTCTTCGCTGCCGTGCCAACATGTTCCTGTGCACGGGGTACGCGGGATACGGGGGAGTACGAGTCCCATGCGCTTGGCGTCTGCGAGCCAGTGTATACATATATATATATGGCAGGTGCACGCCGGCACACACAATGAACAACTTTACCTGCAAGTTGCGGGTTACCTGGTCTGGCTGAGCGCACCTGGTCTCGCGGCCAAGCAGAGATATCAGCATTTTGTGCGTAGAGCAGCAGCAGCAGCTCAACAGCGTATGAAGGCATGCGACGCATGGACTAGGGCAACGAACACAGTACATGCTCCAGTCAGGCATCTTTCCCCTCTTTCACATTCTCCTCTCCCTCTCTCTCTCTCCTTCTCCGCCTTCCTTTCCTCCTTCCTCTCCACCCCCTTCACCTCGCCTCCATCCCCTCCACCACTCTCGTTTCACCTTAGCGCCAGTGCAGCATCCGAGCGGTAATATTCGCCGGGCCGGATGGCGACGTCGCCACTTTCAATATTGGAAAACTGCTGCTGCAGCTGCACCCCGGAGGGCTCGGCAGTGGCGCAGGCGGTGGAGGAGGAGGGGGACAAGGTAGCTGCAGCTGGCTTCGTTCTGAAGAACATTGAGGATATGCAGCCGACAGCCTTTGTCCCTGCCACCATTGGCGCGGATGCAGATGTGGATGCATAAGCAGAGTCGGATGGAGACGCAGAGGCGGAGGTAAAAGCCGTATTGTCTGCGGTCAGAGCTTGCGCCCCGGAGCCATGGCCATACTGTACAGGCATGTTTGCCGCCTCGCAAGGTCGAAGAGGCGTCCTAGGGCCACTGCTGGGAAGAGGCAGGTCGGCGTAGTTCAAATGAAAAACATGAAATACATTAACAAGCTAGAGCGCATGCGGCAGATGTGGTCTGGCAAGCCTATACTCCTGCCTATTATACTGGATTTACATGCTACGTTACGTTGCGAAAACCTTTAGGTAAAAGTGGGCCTGAGAAAGTCACCCAGTTTAGGGTTTACATGGGACGCTACGACGACGTTGTGTTCGCTGGCGCGAGCTGTGTAGACCATCTCCATTTCATGGATTTCAATGGCCAAAACTTCAGCATGTTCCCATATGGATTGGAATAAATTCGTGTTGCTTGATGCTGGGGCGTGCGGGGCTGCCCATGCCGCTGCCCATGCGGCCGACTTGCTGTTTCCCCAGCGGCTTCAGCCCTGATACTACGTTTGGTTGCCTGCTTGTAATATTTCTTGTTGCTAGCGGGCGAGCAACACGAGCGGCGTTGTCCTTGTTCATTTTCTAAGATAAACGGCAGCGGTGCGACAAGGAATGCGGTCGGAGTTCAATGCACGCACAAATTGTCATATATGTGGTCTTTATAAGCGATTGGGCTTTGCCGTTTGTTATAACTCGCGAAATTGGCGACGCAATTCAGGTAACGGTACGAGGGGTCAACGTTTGACGAAAGTCAACCCCCCCGGTCACTTTAGACTTTTCGTCTACTTTACCGGTAACGTACCGTTACCATGTCCGAACCGACCACTTTTCCCATAAAGTCTTAACGTAACGTGGCATGTAAACTAGCTACTTTAGCTGTTCATTTGTGGCCTAGCCAGTTGGAAAGTGGCAGTCAAGGGCCTACGTGAGATCAAATACACGCAGTATATCATGGTGATCTGCGTCTTAAAAAGTTTATGGTTGAACGATGAATATAGGAAGGTGACATGCAAACTGAACTGGTATTGCAATTGAATACTTATTCAGATGCACAGAGGATGACCAAATAAAACGTACTATTATGGAAAACATCATGTTATAAGAGTCAAATACTGCTTGATTCAGCGTGCTAGGACTGCTGCGCAGTCAAACGAATCGGCCAAGTAGTTGCCTGATCCCCCATCAGCGATGCAAGCACGCACGACCGCATGCTATGGTCATCTAGATGGGTCTGCTAGGCTCATTTGAATCATGGCAATTTTGTCAGAGATCGGCACCGGTTTACAGCTGCTCGGTGAAACCCCGCAAACGGCGTCGAAGCCCGTCGACGTGCCTGGGTCGTGCAACAATTTACTAGGAGATAAAAATTTTTCCTCTTGAAAGACAAATCGATATTGTTGCAAAGGTGGGATGTGAGGTTTTAGGCCAAGGTGACAGGATCGGTCCTCATCGACATATGTGTTCTACTGAAATGAGCACCTAAAGCAATATGAAGCACTTGGAAAATATTTAGGGGCCTACATCCTCACCTTGGCTCATTCGCGTTGGATCTGTACGCATGAAGTGCCATACCAGACAAGCTGGCTTCCTTCTCGTTGGCCATGGAAGTTGCCGTTTTCATGTCGACGCAGTTATGGAGCATCTCATCGCGCATTTTGGGGCTCGCCGTGCAAGGAAGACGAATTGGTCGTTCAGGACTACGCACGGTTCACCAAACTCCTTGCCAGTCGCCTGACCTAAACAACGTCAACAATGTAACCCAAAGCTTATACTCTAGGTGCAACGAAAACCTGGTATAAGCGCGGTTAAGGTCCTTGCTACGGCAACAGGCAGCCGCCCATGACCTTATTGAAATAGGATGTTTATGGCATCTGCAAGTTTGGTATGGACTTTTCAATTATTAATGCATTTAAGCATAACTACATCTCTCTCGTTCCGTCCGCCTTACATGCACTTGGCCCTGGACGACAGAGGAATGCCAATGGTTGAAGTACGACAGGACAAGCCCTGGCCGCTAAAATCTCCTGCCAAGACACTGAGATAAAAAACATGGTCGAATGAAATTGAAATGTATTACCTGACTATCTTGTTGTGTCTACCGTAATTTTTGCTGAGTTAAAGGTGTGCGTACAGTAATATTGCCTGGGTCACTGCGCGCGCGCCATCTAACCAAAAGCTCTAAGCGATCCGATAACAAAAGAAATAATGATTTATTATAGGGCAATTTGATTACTTAAATCATTATAATAAGTTTAAAACATCACTGCATAACGACTCGGTCGATTCCCGTGTACGAATTATCTTGATTGGGGGTATTGCATGCGCCCAAGCGGCCCATCAACCTCATGTTACTCCATTCCCGCGGGAAACACTCCCGATTTCAGCTTGCCGCTACTACGTTTGTGTGGATCGCGTCAAGCTTTGTTTCATTTGCCATACGTATGGACTCTTCGTTTCGTGAACCCCAGGTCCTCCGTGCAGCTTCTCAGCAGTCCGCTGGTCCGACTGATCTCGAACAAAAACTGAACGGCCTCCCGCATCGGCAGCTATGAGCCTCGAGGAACGCCCTCCCTATCTGTTCGGGACCTTATGCGTCATTTTTCCTCAAAGTATGGCCCGCACGCCACCACATCGAGCCGCGGCAGCAAAATTTAAATACCCAGTTTACTTCCGGTTTCCATTCCTAGAGCCATTTCCTGTGCGACGCCGCGAACTTCCAAAGCAATGGGGCGCTTTCCTCGCCTATTCCATGCGTGCCTGGCATGCTTCGTGGTTAAGAATCGGCGGGCGATTTCTGGGGTGCTTTGGGGCCCTATTAGGGCGCGTGACTTTCTGAAAGCGGCGTCGGTAATAATTTACGGTTATGGTCCATCGCGCGTGTTTTCTGTGCTCGGCTCTTGCTGAGGGGCTCACCTCGCGTTGTGCAGAGGGGTCCTCTCGTCTGTCTATTCTGTTATATGCGTCGAGTTCTGCGGGCGGAGATCCTTGGAACGAGGTCCTACTTCTCTGTGATGAAGTGCGTGGCTCATGGCTCATGGCGTTTGTTGCATCATGGCGCATCGTTGACAATTTTGGTTTGGGTTCGCTGCCTTAAGATGTCTATCCAGGGGAACAGGAAACTACTACCTTGGGGCAGCCTGTCCTACTGTTCAGGACGCGAGTTCGCCGCTTGAAAATGCATTCTCCTTCCCCCTCCTCGCGGTGTTCCCTGCTTTCGCCTGGGACCTGTGCTTTGGTCTCCACTTTAGCGTTGTTCGCTTGGGCGAAGCGCGTAGCAGGTGCCTTTGGACTTCGTGCGTTCGGAGTCGTTCCCGATTAACCCGGCCCCGTCCCCGTCTATTTAGCTCGTGGATGGCGAAGTAGCAGGCGGCTGTAGGAGATAGCAAACCGGTCTTTTCGCCCGCCCTCCTGCCCTCCTAAATCGAAAGCAACTTGAGAGCAGTCCCTGTCATCCATATTTAGGTTTTGGGGATTAAGTATATTGAAAAATAAGGTGCGTGACCCCGTACCTGTAGAATTACTCATAAGAGCCGAAGGCTCAAGGGCAAGGCCTGAACGCCTAAAAGCCACAAGAAAGAAGTACCGCACTAGCAGGATAAGATGAAATTAGCGTCCAAGAGCCCAACTTAACGGCGGCCCCAACTCCCCATCAGCAAAGCTCTCTCAGCGTTCTGGTAAACAAAGAGTAATCAGCAGCAGAATTTCGCGGATGGGTTTTTGCAGGTGCACAGGTGCATGACGGCGGGCATACCGCAACATTGGCATGGCCTCTTCATCGGTGTTGAAGTCAAATAACTTGGTATTGAAAACCGCAACGCCGTTAGCAGTGGCCGAAGCAGCCAAATGTAAGGAAGTGCGATGGTTTTGGGGTTCGGTTACAGGATGGGGGATTGCATGGCCCCAACAACAATTACTGATCTGCTACACAAACTCCAGCGCTGCAGTCAACGTTGATGTGCTCGCCTGCTTGTTCCATTAACAGCTTCCAAAACAATTTGGTGAACGTTAGATGCCAGCTTTATGATGGGCCCCTAATGCTTGAAGGGGAGCATTGGGAAGAGGAACTAAAAGACACAAACGGCTCTAAGGAATGCACTTGAATTTTGTTGTATACTTGGATGGCCTGTGCGTGCACTTGACGTTGGGTTCGGATTTTCGCTCCGTATTTACTCGCCTACGATCGATATCGACCGCATTCCGCCACGCGAGTTGAAATTTTTTCCTTTGTCGGGCTGTTTTGCTAAGAGCTGAAGTGCGCTGCCTCGCATCTTACGAGGCTGCGACGTACGTGAGGCGCCTTCGCGCGGTATCCTGCACGGTAAGTCTGGGCTGCAAGCATAGGAGGTGTGCTGCTGCTTGTGCTTCAACGCCACCATTAATCGTTTGAATCGGCATAATTAGCCGTTTCATCTGTACTTTTGCAGGGTCTCCACTCCACAGGCCTCTGTTTGGAGCTATGCACGGGTGCGCTGCCTCGCATCTTCCGGGGTTGCGACGTACGTGAGGCGCCCTTGCATGGTATCCTGCACGGTAGGGCATATCGTTGAGGAACAAAGATGCAAATATTTTTAATAATTTGCTGGTGTGTCCAGTGCTTGTGGCAACTGAAGAAGCTCACTGCGGGCTACGGCGAATTAGTCAGGGCTGAGCAACGTACCTGTCAGAGCCTGTCAACAGCTTCTCGCCGCCGCCGCCATCGCCGTTCCGTCTTCTTCCATCCTTTTGCCTTTGTCCCTCCTAACTCTCTGTCTTCTGTCCAAGCAAGAATGCGGCAACACGTAGCAAAGACATTTCTTGGGAGTACAAAATGCCTGTTTCGTGCGTGACTAAGTAATAGTAAAAGCAAATGTCATCGCACTCCCAGGTACGAAGCAGTTGTACGCTGGTACTCCATGCGTTCAGAACTCCAGATGCACTCGTAACTTAGGTCTGGATGCATTAACAAATATCCGGATCGCTTCCAGGCAAATTATGCATTGCAAAATGCGGCATGTTGTGGGAGCTGCCAGACCAGCGCACCGCATCCTGTTCGCTGAATTGTCACGGGCACCCCCACACTACCACGTTTTCAAGCAGATCGCGAGGTTTTGGAACTATGTTCGTTTACAGCGTGGGTCTGTGGCACACCAAGTTTTGCGACAGGAGATCGCAGAGGCCCTCTCCAACCCCAAAGAGGCTGGATGGGGAACACTAATCTTCTTTTTTTTATTTTCTGGCAGACGACACATAGAAAGAGGCCCCGCAAAGGTTACGTGGGGTAGACGAACGAGTGGAATGACTGATGAACAGGCCATCGCCAGAAGGTGTGGTATTGGAGTTCAGGGGTCGATTGATGAGTGGTTGGAAGCATACGCGTCTAGATGTTAGGCCAGACGTGTACCCATCAGACGGCAAGCAACCAGGAATTCACATGGCGAAGTCTAAGCATCGGATGGGTCTGGCGGCCGAACAAGTGGGCAGGAAGGAGGTGCTCCCGCATATCGTAACGTTTATCCCGTGTTCAGCGAATCGCAAGCTTATGCAGTTTAGGCTTTGCTGTTGGGCATTGGTGACGAACAGAACGCGCAAGGGACGGCGTTATGTACCTAGGGAGGAGCGGGTACGCCCCCGCTGCGGTACTGAAAGCCATATTGAAGCACGTTTTGCTGGACTGTCCGGTGTACGACAAAATCAGTCCTAATATGGATTTTCCGCGCTTTGAGCATATGAAGGACGCTATGACGTCCGTGGGAACCTGAACGTCTGGCAAGGATGCTGGAACGTATATGGTCCCACCGCAACTCTTTCGTCCCCTTTGGTCGTTAGTCTCCTTGCTTTGTCTGAAGTGCGAGGTAGGACGGTGCTTATAGGCGATCTGGCAGCCCTTGAGCTCTCGGCTAGTATTGGGCGGTTTGCAGGTACGGGGTACGCATCCCCACGACCATGTAACACACACACACACACATATATACACACACGCATTGCGAAATAAGATGCGGTTAAATAAGGAGAAGTCCTATCTTACAAAAATTTCATTACTTTTTATAGTTATATATTCATCATCTTGGCAATGATGCAACTCGCCCTCCAATCCCCAAACCTGTGGCTGTGGAGGCTAACCCTAAGCTTGGCTTAGTCCGCCTAACCACAGTTGATAGCAGAAGCCCGACTGCACAGCGACTTCACGACAGTTTGCAAGTCCAGCCCATAACGGCACCGATACCACAGAAGCACATGAACCTACGATAGCCTGGCAGTCGGCACCTTTACCAAGGTCCCTTCATCAATGCACCTTCCTCAACAAGTTCTGTTCTATCAGCAAGTCAAACGGGACATGTTATATGAGGAAGTGGTGATAGACCTGCATTCCTCGCCCGGCTTCAACTCGCTCCGAGACCCCCTCGAACCACACCGACCGACAGACAGACATTCAATAATTCCAGAAAACCCTCGCTCCCCACTTCCGACCTACCCCAGGATCCTTCCCGCCCCGTTGCATCCTCCGCCTCCCCTTCCCCCCAAATCGTACACATTTTTCTGCTAAGGCTGGGTGAGTGGGGACTGCACGGAGGTCGGAACTCCTTGTCTCTACATCCCCTCCTCGTCTCTACATCCCCCCTGTGATAAAGCGGCCCAGAAGCCTCCCACTCTGTAACATTACATTACATTACATCCCCTTCATTGTTTTGTCCCTCCCCGCCCCCAGCTCATCATCGCCGAGCGTACTCCTCACAAAGTCGCACAAGGTCTCCAACACACATGGACGGCATGACGTCGTACAGGGATGCCTGATGTCGTGCATAGCATTGCCGTACATAGAAACGTGCCAACGCGGGGACAGACCGTTGGGAGGGAGAGGGGCAAGGTAAGGTACGCAGGCGTTACAGGTAAAGAAGGGCAGTAAGCGCAGCAGACCGCGATAATGCGGGCTGTGGGGACTCGGTGTGTGTGGATTAGAAACGTGCCTCTGGTTTGTGCACACTCGCAAGCCAACAGGCCACCGCCCGCGAGCTCGCGACGGTGAGAACTTTCAGCGGGTTGTTGTAGAATCCTCTTATACCTAACCATATGGTTAGGCAAATGAGCGTAAGTGCTGCTCGGTGAGCTGTGTGAAGCTGACGGTCTCTCCAGGTCCTGGCCCAGGATTTGTACCTCCGACGAGCCTAGATATCTACTAGATAGACCTACGGACAGACGCCAATACATGCTTTACACAAGCATACATAAGCTGCTCTCATTGCACGTGCAGATGGTCTTCTGGGTGTTTGCAGTGTGTGTTCTGAGGTAAAATATATTCACTTCTTACTATCCGGGGAAAATTTGGGTATCTTTTGGCTCTGGTGAAAAGGAGTGGATTCACTTCCGGCCGCATGTCCCAGCCCAGCCAGAGGACGCCGGATCATACGTGTGTGTGTGTGTGTGTTTGCGTGTGTGTGTGTGTGTGTGTGTGTTTGCGTGTGTGCGTGGGGGAGTTGGGGTTTGGAACGAAGTCCGCTATCGGAAGTCAACGGGGGAAGTCTACGAGCTTTCCTGATCGGAACAGATGCTCAGCGAAATATCCAACAGCATAATTTGCAGCTTCGAACACCGGCCGCTGTCTTCCCCTCTTTTGATTTGGCAGCATAAAATTCCTTTATCCTTCTCGCTTGCGCCGCCTCGCCCACCTTGAGTTTTCCTGCCCCCAACTTTACGGGAATCTTCTTCAAAAGCACCTCAACGTCTGACTCCCTTAAGCCCCGGCTCAGCTGCGGAGGAGCAGGGAAGGGAAAGGCGGTGATGAGGAAGGCCATGAGATGAAGACCGTGTCGGGCAGGGTGGGGAGAATGATTGGATGCAAGGAAGCGGATGAAAGGCAGCTTCAGCTCGCGCAGCTAAGGGAGCCGCCGCCTTCTGGAGTGTGTGGGACAACCGGTGAAGGGAGGTAGGCGCCACGGGCGGCGAGGTAGGGCTGAGGAACAGCAAAAGGTAGGGTCTGTGGGGAGCACACCAGGACGAGGACATTGACGGGCGGCAAGGCAGCGGAGGAGATACCGGCAGGAGGCAGAGGAGACAGAGCAGGGAAGTCGAGAGGAGACAGAGCTGGCAACCAACTTACAATACATCCGTGCATCTGTAAAAGGTATAATACCTGCTATAGCTCTCCCACGAGCTGGGTCCGTTGTTGCGTCAGTACCGATGTGACGAGTGGGCACCGGTGTGTGGGGCCCGCGCCTCCTTCCCCCTGCCCAGTAGTAGGTTTGGCAGCTGCTAGTGTTGTGTTGTGTTGTGTTGTCGGCTACTATACCCCTCTCCACCTTTGGCGGGGAGAGTATGTAACGCCACCTGGTACACATCAGCCCGTCCTCGGTCCGCATTTTTACCCCCTTCCCCCATTCTTACAATCCCCCCTCCCCCCATCCTTACATTCCCCCGCATCCCTCCGTGCCTACCTGCGGCCCCAGCTGCTGTGCTAGAGCCTGACTCATTTTCAGGCTGCTGCCGGAGATGCCCGTCCCCATGTCCTGATAGGATGCGGAGTGGGAAGAGGAGGAAGAGGATGCTGTCCGGGGTTTTGAGAGATAAGATAGGGGGATAGTCGATATGGGGGTGGGGGAAGGGGGTAAGTCGAACCACTAGGGGAATGAAGCAGAGATAGAACAGAGATAGATGGATAGACGTGGTGGGTGGACAAGGGGTGAACATAGGCCGCAGCAGGGGGATCTGAGAACTGGTTTCTGGAGGAGTAGACTTGGAAAGAGTGCCGTACTATTGTCGTACTGGGGCGGCCGTACTGCTCCATACTCTGTGCAAGTCCTAGCCAGGTGGGTTTCCTCTGAATGTTTGTGAAGGCCGCAACCGTTCTCCATGTTCTTCTGCTCTGGACATTATTATCCCGGGATACCTCTTGCCGTACTCCTCCGTGCCGTACACCCAAAGTCCGCGCTTTCCCGTGTTCGCGGATGCAAAGGTGTGGTGCCGGGGACACGGGACTCAGGACTCACCCGCAGGTATAGGTGCCAGCCGGCGATATCCACATACACATCACGGCCTGCAGATGGGATGGATGGCAGACCGTAAATGTGACATGGCACGGCGTGGCACGGTATGGTTGCGGGTGGAAAAGGGCTGGCTTCGGGTTTAAAGTTCGGAGAGAATGGGGTTTTAATCTTCCGTACCAGCGGCCCCGACAGCGCTGTTCAGTGCTGTACTGTGCGGCGCGGTGCTGGATCTAGCGTGCTGGGCCCCCTGCCGCCCCACCTGCTAACACCCCCACAATCCGCTACTACCCAATGCAAGCCACCAGCTCAAAGGGAAACAACAACAGCAATTGCAAGACGTGGGGCAGCAGCAGCGCCAGCAGCCCTGGAGTTGAACGGCCGCATCTGGAAGTGACCTTAGCGCTATTTGATAGGTCAGGCAAGGAGGGCGAAGCTGCGCTGCCATGATGTGAGAGAACAGGCGCAGCGGAGAAAAACGCACGCACCAATGGCAGACGCGAACTCCTCATAGGGCGTCTTGCTGCCGCTGCTGCCCGCGACCAGTTTAGTAAGGTCAAGCCAGCCATCGACCGCTGCGGGTGCAAGGATGGACGGTGACGTGACCCCACCGAGGCGACCTTTGCTCCGTTGGGCCGTAGTAACAGGCTGCGCCGCTTACCGTCTTTGCCTATGCCAGCAGCCAGAGTGAAGCGACGCGGCCGCGACGGGCGGGGTGACGGTGCATGAATGGTCCGCTGCACCCAGCCGCCGCGACTGATAGAGATCACATCTGCGCGTTATATAACTTAGATTGAGCCGAAACGAAGAGCAATCTATCGATTATCACAACTTTCCTACCGCAAGCAGCATGACCAGCGACTTGGGCTGACTGCTTCCTGAGGGCAAGCATAATGTTTAAATCAATCGATGCTCAAACCTGTCAGTACAAAAAAGGTTGGAGCGAGTCGGTGCGTTTAAGGGTTCAATGCAGCTATGCCAAAAGCGTCAATCTTTCATGATAGAGCTGAAAAAGTACATATGTAATGATATGACAAAATTGCTATTTTCATTTATAAGATAACAAAGACCTGCGTGTGTTGTGGAGGACACACGCCTGTTACGGGCTGTGTTGCGCCGATCCTTATGTTCCAGGCCAGCGACAGGGTCCAATGTACTGATCCATGTGCCTGGTGACCTCAATGGCTGGGGCAATTATACATCGCGGAACTTGATTTACTATGCCCCGTAGCCTGCCTGGGCCTATCTGGCCATGCCTATCCTTGAAATCGCTTGGTTCGCTGCACGTTCCTGCATCCTTTCGGCTAGCTTCAGGGGTCATCGACATCCTTTGCGGACAGGTGCTAGGGCGAGCAGGTTACCAGGGGAACTGTTCACAGCCAGGGGAGGCCAGGGGACCAGCCAGAGCTACGCCCCGGTGTCGCCCACCTGTCGCGGTTGCCTGGGGGCTGTAGGCTCCCTCACGGCACTTGCGCAACTGGGCACTTCCATAAGCGGCTCATGGGTGGGGAGCAGGGCTGGACGATATTCCCAACGAAGTCCCTTTACCCACAGCGCTGGGGGGCCAGGCCGGCTAGGCGGTTCCTGGGTCGGCGGTTTCTTGGATTCTGATCCGACAGCATCGGGGGAACAAGGCAGTAGCAGAGGCAACAAAGGCAGCAGAGGCAGCAGAAGCAGCGACAGGAACAGCCAGGGCCAGCACCACGAGCTAAATAAGAGGCATAAAGCAAATTCGACATACGATTTAGTAAAGGGTCGCCTTATTGCCGCGAGGCCACTACTCGGGCGATGTCATGCCAGCCGTCAACCGCGACGCTTGTGTGCGAGGATAAGCGGCGCGGTCAAGTCATACTGTCGGGTCGTGCGCTCCAGGAGTTATGCGCTTCCAGCCATTTGTGGGTGGGACAGTGACCCGAAATTAACACCGCTGCCGCCAGGACGACATCGCATCGCATATCCGACCCGCATGCAACCAAGCCGCACACGAGAGTGGAAATAGCTTATACATATAACACATACATTTGAATCGTGCTGGAAGGTATGCGTATGCTGCGAACATTCTCGAGTGACAGGCAAGTCTTGAGACCTGTGCAGGAGTTCCAAACACGAGAATGGCCAGTTAGATTATACTTCTACGAAAAATGAGAAAATGAGGATAGAACTTTGTGTTTTGATTATAGATGTGGTAGTTTAACGCGTTGTGCTGCGGCAATTGCAATCAAGTGGCGTCGCAGTTACTCATACTGCGAAGTGATGACAGTTTACGCTGAGACCTGATGATATGAAGAGTACACACAATCGCGAAGCGGCCCGGTTCTTTTCTGGGCGTACTCTTTCGTATGCGTGCATAATTCAAGCCCATTACACAGCCATAACGCAGCTCAGATGAGCAAATGTGCACAGCTGTTATCAGTAATACCTCCTGCTATTGTGTATGGCTGGGAATCTGCATGAGGTTGTTATGACGCAGCGAGTTAAGTTCAATCTTTCAATAACCTCTGCAATCGTGCAGTGACCTGCAAAAATATTAAAAGTATAGAATTTAAGGAGGTGAATGGGAAGGTTCATTCCATTATGACCAGGTCGCAACGTGTGGGTGATATTGGGCTTCCGAGTCTAGCTCTGTAGGAAGGTTATCTGCCCGTAACCGCCCGTAAAGCTTGAACAGGCGGCCTCATCTCAGTAGCATGCCTACATATAGGGAAGCAGCTATCCCTGCTAACACATTTCATAAAAAATGATTATATTTAGGTTTATAAAACTAGTACCCGCTCGTCATGATCATAAACATTGCTACAGTTGCGTAACGCGACGACCGAGTAATATTGGTCGTCAATGATCGCAAACCATATCAAAGCTGACGACAAAACATGCCAACCAAAATTCGCCGAAACCAAGTTCAGCCTAGTTTGATGAGGTATTGCGGGCGTTGGCGCCGGCTTAAGCAGTGGTCAAGGAACCATCCCAACCGTAATTGCAATATACCACGAAAGCAACTCAACAATTGTAAGATAAATAAATAATCTGATTCCTGTAACCTTTTCAAATGTACTACATCTTCCCCTGGGCTCCTTCTTGGTGGCGGCTGCCAGCGGCCCCAAGCGCACCGCTTGCCAGATATCAAAGGACAGTTATCTTTGGGACACATTAACCGGTACTTGCTAGGGTTCAGCTTATCTGCCATGCTTGCTTATTTTGCCTCGTTACTAACCTATACCTTTAGTTCCGTAAGGGGGCCAAAACGTATTATACGTGGCTGCCTGTTGGTGTGAAAGTGTACGGAACAAAGGTAAGGGAAGAACCTTTGGCTCAACATGTTTTCGTTCAGCTTAAAATCGTTTCATTTGAACGTCGTGCGGCTGCAGCGTTTCTTCCGCTTCCGGGGCCCTCTTGTTCACACAGCCTAGCGTTCCCTTCCAAGCTCCTTCCATTATCTGGCGTCTTGAGCCTTACGCGGCCTTGTGAGCTCGTGCCCGCTGCTGCAACCCGCTGCCATGGTCCTGATTACAAGATGGAGCAGGACAGAGAAGTCAAGAGAGAGCCAAGCCGGCCAAGCATGGCCAGCGTTAGTATCACAGCATCAAGCGTTATTACCAGTCGCAGGCATCGAGATGAAAGCCGGGCTAGCAGCTGCATGGATGAAACACAGTGGAGGAGGTCTACGGCTTGAAGCGGACAGACGGACAGACAGAACCCAAACAGACGGACGCACGGACGGATGGACGGACTTTTGCACAGCCCGTCACCTCTTTTAGAATCAATTCCCTAAGCTATAGCGTTTAACGAATGGACATCAACTCAGATTTTTGAGTTCTACGGCATTGAAGCAGCTTCGGATACCTGATGGCGTGAGCCAAGAAACTCAAGCATCGCTTCCCAAGCCTTGCTTTGCTCTTTGAGCTTACAGACCTTCAAGTTCACGCTTTCGATTACATCTTAGTAACAGTGAATTTGGTCACGACCGTTGACCATCGCAAGCATCACAGGACGGCTTATCACTTATGACATAGCGACGCCTTCAATGTTTGTTTCGTTGCATATAAGCAATTTAAGCCTGTCCTTACAGATATATCATTGCATTTGCGCTGTGACGTGCGTGTTAGCGTCATCGCTTTGGACGTGGACCGGAATGCATTGTTACTACGGGTGTTGATGGCTCCAACTACAGAATGAAATATAATAAGAGAGCGGAACCATTCCCCGCGCTCCATGTCCATTTGCAGCTGCTCGCTTTCCATTCATTTTCGTTGCTTTCTACCCACTTTTGGTGATGTACGCTGGACCCTAACGACTTAATTAGAACTCGTTTGTCCTGGCGCGATGCCGTCCCTGCGGTCCATGAACCTGGCACCCTGGGCCTTACGAGTTCTTCCGGACCCGGTAATCAAGATAGATAACCGGAGGTGATTTGTCCAAGCCCAACGACATTGCACAGATTACTAGGAAAAGCAAGGTCGGAGGTTCACTTACTTGCGGAATCTATTTGCAAGCCAAGAGGAGGTTCTCTTTCTATATCGCCGTCATCTGCGCACACAACACTTCAGTCATAGCGGTGTTTTTAGAAGTTAAAGCAACAATGCCGGTCGTGCAAATTGTTGTGAACAAGGAAGCCAGCCCTGACACAAAGAAGGCCGTGGCCAAGGGTTTAACGGAGATTGTTGCGGCAGAATGCAGGGTACGTATCATGACAGTTGATGTCTCCAAACTGGTTACGTGGGGCGTTGCATTTAGTGGACGTGAGATGTCGGCAACCCTGTTGGGGGCTTTACCTCCGAGCGAAGAAAATGATGTGTTTCCTATCTCTGAAGGACTTGCAGTAATCCAAGCATATGCTCAACTCGCAGGGAGCAGCTTTGCGCAGGTGTCTCGGTGCTTGCACAGAGAATCTTGATCGGAATTGTTGCACAACACTTTAGTTTCCACCATCAACACGCTGTGCTCTCCTGTCACGTACCGTGACGTAATGCGTGTGACCTCGCACGACCACAGGTGCCGCAGGGTCATGTCCATGTCCTCATCCTCGATAACCAGTTCTTTTCGTTTGGGGATAACTACGAGAAAACTGCTGCATATGTAAGTTTTGAAGTTCTAGAGGCCGAAACGCAATCAAGCTATCTAGTCCCCGCGGCCCTAACCCCGCAACCCTTTAAGCCTTTCGGCTTTCCAGCCCTGTTGCTCATGCACCCTGCTGCCGCACGCTCAAGGAACCTACGCAATCGCGTCAGGATTTGCCCATCCTTTCTCGGCATTGCCGTTTGAACTCTGCCATGGAATCGGCGGCCGCACCCATCCCACCTCAGCAGCCATTCCTGATTCCTCCTGCAACCTTCTGCATCGTCTGCCTTCACGGTTACGTCATTTCGGCACACTTGCTCTCATCTGACATCATAACATTACGCGACATTACACTTGCACATACGGCCTGGTGCCGCATTACATGCGGCGCGATATTCGTGGTGTGGCTTCATTTGTCTGGGCTTCTCTCCGGACCCAGTTCGCAGGGAAAACAATTTGTGCTTTTTGTGAAATTAGGTTGAGCTGCGCGCTCCTTCATCCGCGTCCTACACAACATAGCACCAAACGTAGCAAACCGCACTATGCTAAACACCCACACGACCCCCTTTCGTTCGTCTTGATGTTCGCTTGACGTGCCATTACCTCGGCCCCCCAAACCCAACCCGCCCTGCTCACCTTTCGTGTCCTTCCTTCTGCCTCCTTTACATCATTCCAAAAACCGCTTCGCTGCATTGCGGCGCGGGCGGTCGCCCTCGGCCCATTCATTTCACGGCCCACTGCTGCCGCCGTCGGCTCCTGGATTCCGAATCCGCAATGGCCGCCCACCATCTCTTGTAAAGGTGACTGTTCGGAGCAGCGCACAGCAGATTGTTCCAGAAGCCCGTCGGAATCTTGTGGTCGAGATGGTCGCCATCCTGACGACGGCCTTTGCAGGTATGCTTGGGTTTCATGGTGAAGGTGTGCTGGCGAGATAAGTTTAAGCACACGTTTGATGGGCTTTATCCGCTGTACCTATAGCTGCGAATGTGGGGTTTCTGGGAAAACGGGGAGGGGGTGTTTGAGCTGCACCTCTTGACAGGTAAGCGCATTAACAGGATTACGGAAAGAAGGAAGACGCAACCCTACCCCAGGTAGGGAGAGGTGAACCACTTGCCAACTCGGGGGCCTGGGGCTGGCTGGGAGGGTTTTTCACTTGGTTACTGCTGCTGCTGCTGCTGCTGGCTGCTGCTACAACCGCTACGTTAGCTCTCGCTAGCACAGCGAGTTCTTGTACGCGAGAGAGCAGCTTTTGGGGATCAACACGCGCAGAGAGCGCACGTCCTTGGAGCGCACGCTTATGTGGGGAAGTGAGAGTCACTCACCTTAACTGGTTCTCCTCCTTGAGCCGCTCGTGCTTCCCTTGAGCTGCGTCCGAGAGGTTCCTGGGGCTCGGCTGGCCCGCACCACCCCCCTCCGTCGGTGACCGGACCTCTTCCCGACCATCCGGCATCTGGGGGCGTCAGGGTGATATCATTCTAGCGTGATATCATTCTTTGCCTACCTTGCCGGCAGCTGAATTCGTGGTTTTGCATTCTGCATATATGATGTCCGTTTCCCCCCTCCCCCACTGGCAGCAGCTTCAATCGTGTGTGCTTCAATCGTCTTTCCCCCACTGCTCGAGATACGTCTTTAAAATTTCACCGCTGCTCGATGGCCTGCCCGTTCGTCCGTTTTCCTGGGGACGATGTGAAGATGTCCTTTGAGCGTACCTAACCTTTCCTTTGAGACAGTAATGCGCCCACAAGCTCTTGTTGCGGAAATAAGCGCTCGTGCGAGACCTCTTCCAAGAAACGGTCGCACGTCTGTTAACCTTTGTGCGCACCGATCTGTCCACACGACTTCCCATCTTTTTTACATCTTCCAGTCTCACACCGTCTCGTAAATCCCCTTGTCTTCGCAACGCAGATTTGGACCCTTATCGCATCAACACCTTTTTCGAGGAACTCCCCGTCGAAAATATTGCAGTAGGTGCGCACATTGCGACTTTCGCCGCGCCGGGCAGCACACGCAACAGCCTTGGGGGCGCGCAGCAGCAAAGCGCAGCCTAAACAGGCAATCCCTCGGACCAATCCGACCAAGCTTCCTGCCTAACCTGCCTCCGCACCAAAACTTCTCTGGAAGGGTCGTGCTTGCCATCCCGGAGCTTTTGCAGGAAAGAAAGCAGTCGAAATCGCATCCCTTAGCAGGGCCTAGGAAGCCAAAATATGCACGGCCGAGATGAACGGTTTTGCATGATTTTGCGGCGGAAGGAGCTGCTGCTAGAGACACTGATGCGGCTGCCGCCGACAGAAAAGCTTTCAAACAGAAGTATTTTTATCAAGTTTGGTGAAGCAGGCTCCCGGATAGAGCGGTTTTGTAGTTCCTGTGTGTGTATGCGTATGTATGCGTTACGTGTCACGGAATCATTGAATGCTCTTGTGGACTGAGCGAGGGAGATCGGTGGCGGCGGCGATTGATACGTTGGTGGTTGGTTGTAATTCGGGAGGACTGGTACACTGGTGCTGGGTGTTGTGCGTTACAAGTGTCGTGGATGCGCACGGGCACCTGTTGCGGGTGCCGGGGCGGGTGGGGGAATTGTGCATGTGTGGGTGTCATCGGGCGGGGTGGGAGGCTGCTGTATATGAAGTAGTCGATGGTGGAATGGTTGGAGGAAATGTGCAATAGGTGTTGGGGGTCTGCTGTCATGTGGAGTTTGTGGATGGATGTAGTGGGTCGCAAGGGTGGGGTGGGTAACGTTTTCTTTGGGTCGCAGCTACGTTGCTGTTGCTGCGGCGAGGCGAGGCGGGCTTAGATGCGCGGTGGGCGGCCGAGTGGGCAATACGCTACGCAGGAGCCGAAGTGAAGCAGTTGGGCGCTGCGCCCGGCACGCTTTTAGTAGTTGCATGATGGCGCGTTACGATTGAATGTGATAAGAGGTCGTCCGTGGGTCGTCGCTTTAATGCACTTTCCATGGCGGCTTGAGGAGCCGCATTGAAGCAACTTGTGCGCGGCACGCGTCGCTAATAGCCCGTTTAATTACAATCATGATCCCTGTCAACATCACTGTAGGTTGTTTCAGCTACTTGTTTGGGTTTGCGCCAGACCCGGACTAGCCAAGATGCCAAAAGCCGATGAACAAAGTAATCCTAACAGTGAGCAGAAGTGCGTATACCTGTAAATAAAAAACGCTTGTTAAAGTCGCTGATGCAAAGTTGGCAGTTATCTGTTTCTGGCGTGCCGTCCGCACGTCCATGACATAGGGCGGTGACAGTTCAAAAATCTCCCCAGACAGTTTTCATTTCGTTGCAGTGCGTTATTCTACTCATTGAACAATATCAGGTAATCTATATTGCCCACGTCGATAAAGGGGCACAGCTGTATTCGGGAGTCGCCCCCACGGCTCTAGCGCTTGAGTTGGGCGAAATGAGCCTGTACTGCAAGCGACACGGCGGCCTGAGCTTCACTCATACTGAAGCTCATGACACGGTAGTATATATTAATCTTTGAAACACCAATTAATATCAGCGAGCTTTGCGCATGTCCATGCTGTTGCGAGTACGGCTAGGATTGTCAGCACCATTCATAGGATAAAGGAAGCCATAGAACATTGTTTCTCATATAATGTATAATGCCATACACTCTGGAAGCAGCTACGCGAGGTAATACTTAGTTGCCTGCTTCGTGACGCCGCTATGTCGGTAACGAGAACAGCTTGAACGTCGTCGGCTGTTGGCTGCGAATCGCCAATAGTGGAGAGGGATATCCAACTTCAATCGTGCCGCGTAGTGCCGAGTCCCCTTCAGAATCTCAAGTAAGCATGGATGCTCTTGACCTTCCATGCCGGTTTGGGGCCCATTTTTTGTTTAATGCTCGTAACAGTACTTCATACCAACAATCGCGTTGAACTCTCGAGCGATCCTTGTCCTTGTCCTTGTCCCCTTTGATTTCGTTGCGTCACTGCAGTTGCCCCTTATGGCCACTTGTGAAGCGTTTCGTTGGCCTCGTGCTCGCGTCTGATGCATTTCATATTGAATCTGGGTGTCAAGCACGCGGTTCAGCATCGCCTTGCGATGAAAAGATGGTCCATCTGTGATCGAAAGCTCGCCATGGTGGGCGCAGTTGGTGGGCGGGAACTGGTAGACCAGCTTCTCTAGTATTGCAATATGTTCACAGTGGCTGCTATTGGAACTCCTGCTTTTGGTGGAAATCAGTGGATACTGGTGCATGCGACCGCATTTTCCGTGCTTCCGTCCTTTGCCCGCTAATACTGCAAGCATGCCCAACGTGGTTAACTTGCAACGCAATCTTGTATGATATATATTAACTTACAACTCCACGCCTTCGCTTCTTGCAGCCTCGCGTCACCGAGGAGCGACAACTTTGGCGAACTGCATCCCATGGACGCCACCCTCAGCGCCTGGGTTCGCGAGGCGCAAGTTCAAGAAGGAACATTTTTGTCGAAAACATCCATCAACTTGGAAGACGCGCTGGCACAACTCCTCGTCGCGACCAGCCGCCCCACCTGCCACCACCAAAACGTTGCGCCGCCCGGCGCTCTGCTGCCTGGCATGGACAGCGTTTTAGCACCAGGACTACATTCAACCTCTCAAGACTATGAAGCCTCGCCTTCCGCATCGCTGGGGGAGAGGGTACGTAAGAACCCGAACCTTACCAGCCTCGGCCCGGATTCGGTCTTTCCAACTCGCGCAACAGCTCCTCCTCCTCCTCCTCTTCCACCCCCTCCTCCGCCACCCCCATCCAGCAACCGCGCAAGTAGGCGCAAGGGCAACGGCATCAGCAGCAGCAAGAGGGCTAACCATCATCACAGCACCAAGGCCGGCAGCAAGCGGGGCCCCGGCTGCATCTCCGAGTCTTCGCAGCCGGACACCACCCAGCTGGACGTCAGCGACGGCTTCAACGCAACGGAGACAGAACCTCTTCGGAAGCGCAGATGCCCGCAGCCCCTGCAAACCCAGCAGCTAGATCTTAATCAGGACGCTCAGCAGGACCTGAGCCCCACCTTGGCGCGTCTGCTGGCGTCCGTAGCCGGCCTGCCTCCCGCACTGCACATCGCAAACGCACACGTACACAGGCATCCTGCATCCATGCACATCCCCGTCCGCCCCACACTTCCCGAGCTCCTCAAACTACCTCCCACCACCGCGCCCGCTACCGCACCCGCCGTACCCTCTGCACCCGCCGCGCCCGCCTGTCATTTCCCGCACAATGCTACTGCCGTTCCCGCAGCTAGGCATGTCCTAGGAACTGGACAGGCGCGTCGGACCCATGGGGATCCATGCACCTTCACGCCAATGCATAATGCATGTGACGGCGGTGACGGCGGTGACGGCGGTGATCAGGAGCTTACGGAAACCAATGTTGGCAGTGGAATGGGCGGGAAAGGCGCATCAATGGCAAGCAGTGGCCGACTGCCGTTCGAGCTTTCCGGCACTTTCTTGGAGCGTTTTCCAATGCAGCGGACGCTAGGTGTGGGAGACGCCCCCCTAGGACTGGGCGCCACAGCCAGCTTGTCCGCTGCCGCCGCAGCCCTACCTGAACATGGCAACTTGAAAGCCGCCAGCGAGGTAGGACGCCTGGGAATGCGCCGTACAGCCGACATCGCCGCAGCGGCAGCAGCGGCGGTTAATGCCGGCGTCCGCAAGCCCCACGGCAACAACAACGGCAGCTACCCCCTCCTTACAATCGAGCCGCTCAAACTGACACCGCTGACGCCGCTCCAGCCAAGCATCAACGAGTACCATCCCCTGCAGTACAACGGCAGCCGGGGCCCCGACGGCAGCAGCGGCTCCGCTGCCGGCGCTGTCGTCGCCGCCGCTGCCACCGCCGCTGCCACCGCCGCTGCCACCTTTGGAAGGGAACATGACGACTACAAGGTCTTAAAGCAGGGCGACAGAAGCGACGCCAAGAAGCTGACGCCGATGCTGCAGCCGCCCACAGCGGTGGCGGCGGCGGCGCCGCCGCCGCCGCCACGTTATACGCCCATCTCTCACTTCCCCAGCACCCCCATCGCCCAATACCATCTACGCACCGCCGTACGCATTCCGACCTTCCACTCCGGCGACGGCGGTCTCTGCAAGGGCCCGCTGGGGCATGAGGAGGCTAGCGGCAGCGGCACAGGCATGGGGCTTGGACCTGGCCAGGAGACACAGGGTCCGAGGCTGGGCCTGCGATTTGTGAACAGCAGTTCTAGGCACGAGGCCCCCGCGCCGGACCAGCCGCTGCGGTCGTACTCACCAACCCTGGAGGAAGCGCTGCTGTTGCTCTCCGCGGTGAAGGGGGACGCGGTTCGATCCGCGTCAGAGGCGACGGTGGCAATCGTGACGACTACACCGCCGCCGCCGCCGCCGCCGACGACGACGACGACGACGGCGGCGGCGGCGGTGACGAGGACAACGAATCCTGTGTGCAAGACGCTGCAGGGGGCGCCTGGACATGGGCCGTACAGTGGCGGCAACAGCAGCGGCAGGCTCCCGGACGCCAGAGAGACACAGCAGACTTGTTGTGGGAACGTAGCGGCAGTAGCAGCAGCACAGGGAGTTGCGAGGTCAGCGGCAGTAGCATCCGACGTGGCTTCAAAAGCAGCAGTTGTAGCAGCAGGAGCAACAGGGCTGTGTGCAACAACGGCGGCAGAGGCCACCACAGCTGGCGGCACATCTGACGTGCCAGAACTTTCTAGCCTCACCTCCGTCGCCCCGGCCGCTGCTACTGCTACTGCTACTGCTACTGCTGCTGCTACTGCTATTGCTGTCACTACTCCAACCGCCATCAGCCACGGGGCCCGTTCAGAAGAGGAAGGTGACGTCAACGGCCTCAGCGGCGGTCCCCGCGTTTTGCCCCTTCCGGCCGTTGGGGCTCTCAGTGGGCCCCCCTGCGGCGACATGAAGAGCAGCAGTGTGGGAACAGCGGAAGCAACCCAAGCAGCAATGGCCACAGGGCCTCAGCAGGACGTGCGGCAACCTTCAATCCGACATCTCAACGTGGCCAGCAGCGGCGGCGGCGGCGCCGGCAGCGGCGACGCCAGCACTGGGGCCGCCGGCATGGACAGTGGATTCAGCGGCGGCGGCGGCGGCGGTTCCGGCGTTAACGCAGCTAGGCGTGTCGGCTCCGCCGCCGCTGCTACTGCCAGCGCCGCAGCTCCCGGCGCCGCTGAGGACGTCGTCAATGGCAACAACAACGGACCCGCGGGGGCGCCGTCTGGGGGCCCCTCGGGAGCGGAATCCCCAGTGACGGCGGCGGCAGCAGCGGTCGCTACAGCCGCCGCCGCTGCCGTCGTCGCCGCCGCCACTGCCCCGGAAGAGCGTACCCTGCCGAGCCCCGTGCTTGTCGGCATTCCTGGTGCCGCCGCCGCTTCAGTTGTGGGGCTGTTTGATCCGGTGCGCTACCTTCTCCGTCGCGATTGCATCTTCCTGCTGAACTGCTCTCCAAACACCTGGGTCAGCCGGAGCCATTTCGAAAGGGTAGGTTTTGCGGTTTTAGGGTTTTAGGACTTTTCCTGCCTTTTGCATCGGGTTTCGGTTTTTGATGCAAGAGGTTGGGTAGCAGTTCACAACAAAGAACACAAGCTTCGTGGTGGTCGTTAAAAAGGGAGATTACATGTTCAAATTGGAGGTCTGGAACTTTCCTCGCACACAGGGGTCTTAGGGTTTGTGGCCCGCTGCTGCATTCATTTCGGTGTGAGGACCGTTGAGAAGATAAGGGTAAAAACTGTTAACTTAGGGTTTTAGGGCTGGCGTAAGGAACGCCAAGAACACCAAGAAGTATCCCCCCTCATGCCCCTTTTCTCCTCCTGCTTTGAAATCTCATCTCGGCATCTTGTTGCGTCCATGTCTTATTGCGCTACAAGTGCCTACCAGTGCGTTTCTGCAGTTTTGATTTTCTGTCCAATTGAGTGTTACAGAGTGGTTGGCTTCTGGGCTATATGTATACATATATTGTGTTTAACGTAGAAATGAACGCCTCCTGGACGCCTCACTTTCGCCTGCACTTCCCCTTGACGTCCCAACTCTCCCAACCTGATAGATCTGCGGCTGTGGCACGGCGAAATGGTACCGCTCAATTCGTGTACTGGGTCCCGCGACCGCCGACGCCGCCGACACGGACCCATGGGTCGGTCTGACGACCAGGCGCAGTAGCAACGGCCGTGGCGAGCTGCTTCAAACCTCATCGCCGCAGCAACGGCATCCGTCGTCGCCGCCGCAGCCATCGGCGTCGTCGCCGTTGACACCATCGCCGCCGCCGTCTCCGTCGCCACCGCCGCCTCCGCCACCGCAGCAGCAGCAGGGGGCTAGCGGCAACGGATGCCAGATGGAGACCCTGGGCGAGTGGCTCACGCGAGTAGGGTTACCGCTGTGGATGGGTCCCAGTCGTACTGGTCCCAACCAATCGAGGAGCCAGCAGCCCGGCCGCAGCAGCGTCGTCAAGTCAGGCTTAGGAGCCGCCGCCGCAGCGGCGGCGGCGGCGAGGAAGGCTGCAGAAGAGGCGTTGCTCGCGCCCGCTGGCAGTAGCATTCAAGCCTCCGCCGCCGCGTCAGCGATGGCTGCAGCCAACGCAGCTGCCAATGCGGTGGCGTCGGCGGTGGCGAGAGCCGCGGGGGATGGCGACAGATCGGGCAAACAGGCCAGGGGCAATGTCAACGGGGCGGCCGCCGCCAGCCTTTCCGCTGCCGCCGCGGCCGCCGCCGCCGCCGGCGACTTTGAGGTAATCAAGGTTTCGTCGCCGGTAGCAGAACCACGCCCGTCTTCACCTCAGGTCTTGGTCGCTGCCGCCGTCGCCGCTGCCGCAACTGCTGCCGCCGCTGCCGCTGCCGCCGGCGGCGCCATATCGCCCAAAGCTCAATCTTTCCCGCGGGACGATGACGATGCTCAAGGTGGCAAGAAGCGTTGCCTGGATCGGACGGCATCGGAGGGTGGATATTGCAGTAGCAGCAGCAGTAGCAGCCAAAGGGACGGCGACGACCGTGATGCCGTTCCGATGTCGCGACACAAGGCCACGCGACAGGGACCGTACATCACCGTCTCGCTGGCGGCAGCGGCAGCCAGCCCCGCTACACCTGGCGGCGGCATGTCGCTGCCGCCTCCGCCAGCGGCTGCTTTCCAGCCGCCGCCGCCGCCGCCGCAGCAGCAGCAGCAACACGACGGGGGCCTGACACTTATTACATCTGTTGCGCTGCAGAAGCCAAACCACGGGGCCCCCGGCGCGAATGCGGCCACAGCTGCAGGTGCAGCTATTGCCGAAGTTCCGTCGGCTGGGGGCGGAAGCTCTCTGTACGGCAATGCCGCCGTTTGTAACTTGCAGAGTGTTGTTAACCACGGGGTACATTGCGACGACTATCCTTGCGGCGCCACCGGGCCTCAAGCAGTGACGCCGCTAGTGGTGCAGCCAAGCAAAATTGCCCAACGGACGCCGTACAGTACGAACCCTTACACTGCCGAAGCCGCCGCCGCTGCCGTTAACACCCCGACAGCGGCTGCCATCGCCGCCACCGCCGTCGCCGCCCCGGCCGCCAACCCAGCTGTGCCTGGCTGCGTCGGCGGTGCCCGCTTAACTATGCCGGCCTCATCACCAGCTATGCCTCAGCAGCAGCAGCAGCAGCAGCATGGAGCAGTACTGCAGCCCGCACAGGTCGTCTCCGACGCACCGGAGCGACGCGAGTCACCACAACAGCCCCCTACCGCGGCTACAGCCCCGGCTACAGCGGCAGCGTCTGCACCAACCGCCGCATCCTCTGCCCGCCGCCGCCCCAGACGCGAAGTGCCAGTACTGGATTCCGAAAAAATTCCAGATCTCGCCGTTGCATCGGCCGGCGACGGAATCCTTGCGTATGACAACGTCACGGTGTACGACGCTGGTGGTCAGGACATGGTCTGGGCAGTGCCGCCGCAGGCGATGCCGCCCCATCAGGTTGCACGACGAGCGAATCCCGGTACGAATCCTGTCGCCAACACAGCGGCCGCCGCCGCTGCCGCCGCTTGGCGGCATGGCGGCAGTACCTCGACCCAGCACAGCGTGCCAAACACGGCGCATCGGCTGCATCCCGGCGTTGCGGAAACTGACAGCGGCGGCGACGACAATATGGTGGCGGCGCCTCTGCCGCCTCCGCCGCCTCCGCCGCCACCGCCGTACTCACACGCTGTGCCAATGTTCATGCCGCCGCTGCTGCACGGCCAAGGCTACATCCCACGTGTCCCTACCCTGGTGACGGCAGCCGTACCGGTACGGCCGCAGCCGCAGCCACCTGCGTTGCTGGTTCAGCAGGTGCCGTACGAACCACCAAGGGCAGTTGGGGGACCCGCCCCACATGTGCCTCAAATGAATACACATTTGGTGTTTTCCCCCCTTCAGCCGCATCTGGCTCAGCAACGGGTTGGGCTACAGCATAGCTCCTACGACCGGCCGTACAGTGCCGTACATGGGCTTCGCCCGTCAATGCACGGCACCGTATCGCGACAGGGCGGCTACCCCGCCATGGCGGCAGATCATGAGTATGGTGCTGGCGGCGGCATTGGCGGTGCAATGCGTCGGCAGCAAGTCACCCGCGCGCTGCCGTACGGCCTGCCGTACCCTTCAAGTCAGCGGCAACGTTGGGAGGACGAGCGGCGGCAGCCGCACCCTTCCGCGGCGGCGGCGCCGCCGCCGCCGCCGATCCTATCACATGCGTCCCCTCCGCCGCCACAACAGGCTCCGCCAGCGACCGCAGCGGCATGGGCTGCCTTCCCCGGTGGTCATGAGTACGTTGCCGTACAGGCCGCTGCTGGTCGCATACCTCCGGATGCAGTTGCCGTCGGGACCGCTGCAGCAATGCCTAATGCGGCTCTCTTAGCCGTACCTGCCGTACAGACCATGCAATTTTCTCCTGACGGCGCATGGGTCCTCACGCCTAGCAGGGCCCAGGGATGGCCCCTGCGCTCCGTTGTGCTCGGCCACCCGTACGGCAACCTAGCTCCAAGCAGCAGCACGCAAGGACCTGTACAGCGGCAGCATTTGAGGCCGTACTCTGAGCCGTACTCACAGTCTACGTTCAACGGGCCGTACGTCGACGGCGGCGCGGAGCGCTTTTGGATGGAAAGTTCCGTATGTGAAGAAGGCGCTGTGGGAGCAGGTCTTGGAGATCGCTAATATGGAGTTCAGGGATATGTACCGTCTGACGGTACGACTACTATACTACTACTATTACTAGCCAAGATTAACAGAACGTCATTCAAAAAAAAGATACTTGGCGATTACGTGTTGTTGTTCTTACTATTATTGTCGTTGCGTTTGTTGAAGAGCGGCTTGTGGGTTTTTGTTGGCTCGTCCAGTTTTGCTCTCGCGCCACCGATCTGACTGCTGAGCAAACGTGCGCAATGGTCGGTGTGGCACTTTGGTCGGGTTCTTAGTCATTTGGGCTTTAATAGTTTCTTTCCCTTGAGGTTTTAGCTCTTGAGGATATCCTCCGGTACTAGGTGCAACCCACAGACACCCCCCAAGTGAAGCATCACGCGATCCAACGGGAAGGCGCGATATGGCGATATGTGAGCTTAACAATCCACAACTCGGAATGTGCAATGTGCTTTCTGTTTCGGAGCGCGGGAGGGGCGCACTAGGAGGTTTAGATTCGCCTCGCGGGTGCCAGCCACCACCCTGATCGACGACGATGGCAGTGAAGGTGGGGAGGGGTGTCTGAGGGATTACAATTCCTGGTCGCTGTTACTTATATTCCTAGCCGCTGCTTATGTGGTGTTGCGCGCCATAAAGATTGATACTCTTGTAAGCATATGGTATATGTCCATAAGGCTCCTTTAGTTGGACTTTGGTTTTATGCGCATATAGGGCGTGGGGAAAGGGTTAAGTGTTAGGGCGAGATGACGAGTTGCAGTACATGTGCAGGCGTCCTGGGGGATACTCTTTCTCTTTCTCGTTCTCTCCTCCTCTCGGGCTGCCTTGCGTCGGCGTTGAGCTGGAAAGCCGTGCTTAGTGCTTAGGTGGAAAGCCGTGCCGTTCTGCGGGCACCTCTGTTCGGGCTGGTGGCCTGCCTGTTGCGGAGGCGTTCATCTTTATACCCATTACAGCACGGCCCGGTTGGTCGTTGGTGTTTTTTTTGCGGATGACCAGTTGCATGGCACGTGCTGAAGTGGTTAGGACGACCTGAGGCTGACATGTTAATACGGCTGATCTACAGCCCGCGAAAGGTCTTGAGACGGTGACCAATATTCGACGCCCTCTTGTGGCGTAAGGGCAGGTAAATTCATTTCATAATCCCAAAGATGAGCTATGAGAGTCGTTTCGTTTTTATGCTGATGGACAGGTTCGGTTTACGCGGGATTAGTGCAATGGGCGTTTGGTTCCAGTTTGTCAGTTTATTTGGTGATACTGTTCTATAAGGGTTTTCGCCAGTTTGTTTGCCATTTAGGTTTGAACCCTAGCCTGGTGCTAAAAAGACACCCAAGACATGACGGATAATGGCACTCGTCTGAGCTTGTGTGTGCACGCGCGCATCCGCGCTTTTTCTCTATTTCTGCATGTATGCGTGATGTATATGTTATTTGTGTATGTATGTATTTGTGTTGAAAAAAAGTCAGCCGGCCAAGAAGCGAACCTTACGCCGACCCCCGATCGGTCGGTCCCGGGCACGTTATTGCGTGTCGCGTTTTCCGCCCCGGGATTTTTTATGTATGGTGCTGTTGCCTCGTGGTTGCTTACTTGGACTTAATGCTTTGGCATGAAATGAAGATTTTACTTTGGTTAGGATTTCCTATTGTCGTCGCGCCTGCGGAAGCGGTGTCATGCCGACATGCCGTTTTGTTTCCTTTCCTTTCCTTCTGATTGCTTTCCTATCTCAGTATGCATTGTAAAATTGATACGCGAATTTGTTTTTGGAAATGAGAAGCCCCGAAACAGGCTTTGCTCCGGCCACAGGACGGTGTGGCGGGTTATTGTGATCTGTTTTTCCGCGAAGGTCCATTTATGTGCATTTGCTGAGACCAGCTAGTATGCCGAGGAGTAAAGGATTAAAATATCTCCAAAGCAGGCAAGACCGACTGAATTTCAATGTCGATGTCGTTTTGTGTTCATCGGAATGTCATACGGTTGTAATCGCGCGCGAAACTTCTCGCCCGTGCGCGTCTTACATCCTGGGTCTATAGTTGTTGCGCAGATAAATCCGGCATAAAATCGTCAGCATTTAGATCCGTGTCTGAGTCCTTGCGAGCACGGCGAGGATAAAGATTCGCGGGTTCGCGGCGCGGTTTCGTTTCATGATGATCCTATGAACTATAACCACCGTACATTGTACAAACTTAGCATTTTAAAGCATGCACGTTTATGCTGCTCCGCTGATTCTCGCTATGTAAGCCGCTCACGTGCTTTCATGAGGAGTCCCTCTCCGTTACAAAGAACCAACCTACAACTATTGGAATTTTCGTGAGGGCTGGGTGAGGGCCAGGTGGGGACGCATTACACTGCCCTAAACTTACCGCTACCGGTCGGCGCAAGGTTGTCAATAATAGGGATGTCATATCGGCAAACTCCCCGTGCTGGTATCAGTGCTAGTCCAGTATTTGTTTATACTGAGCCTGTTGAAGAGCCTGTTGTGCATGATGTCGTTGCGGATCAATCAGTAACCTTTTTCTGATGTTTGTTTCATGCAGCGTCAGGGGATGTGCCCTTTGGCTCGGCTTCTTTATGTGCTCCCAAGCATAGAAGTTTGGTAGCCCACTGTAACAACAACATACGTGCTACCCCGAAGCGACAGAACTAGCGGCCAGCAGACCAACCGCTGCAGTGCGGCGCCTAGGGCGTATGTAGCTGCGCAAAACCCAAAGTAACCCCAGCGCTGTCGCTTGCTGCGACAGATAAACGACACAAGTCCGTACGCAACAGGTCGTCATGGTGGTTGGGTTCAGGCAGTAGGTATCATATTACGAGGGACAAATGTGTTTTTTGCACGATTACACCCCTTTGGCTAATGGCGTCTCTATCTCTATCGAGGTGGGCAGTGGGCAAGTATTGCCAGCCGTGGGGTATGGTTAACCGTATATCCGTCCTGCGTTCGTGACGTAAAAGTTGAGAATGTGTTTTGCGTCCCTGGGCTTAAGCAAACCTCATCTCCGCAGGTGTGCTGACGGATAAGGGCTTCCGAGTTATTACCTTTGAGGATAAGTGGGCCACAATTTGGAAGGGCCTGTTGCACATTAAACCGATCAGGTGCAAAGAGGGTCTCTGGGGTATTTTGAGCGACGTGTTAACTCTGCAAACAAATGAAGTCCCTTCAGCATCCCTTCTTGCACCAACCGTTTCATATTGGCGATGCCAAGGTGTCCAAACCGGCGATGCCACTGGTCGACCCCATCACCATTGTGCACCTTCGCAGACAGAGCTGGGGTAGGCAGGGGCTCAGGAGGGGCAGAGTGGTGATGAGGTCGACCTGTGGCATCGCCAACATGAAGGCAGGAAGGGATCGTGAAAGGACTTGATTTGCTTGCAGAGTTAACGCCGCTCAAAATACCAAAGTACCAGAGGCTTTCTGACCTGCATGTGTCGTTGTCGTTGTCGTTGCACCCGCCACATTCGCCATTCGCCACCACACAACTGTGAGCGACAGGAGGCCAGAGGTGGCGGAGGATACTTTGCTGCATAGAGCATAATGAGGCGAGGCGGCGGAAGAGGGCCACCGAGAAGTCCCTCTCCAGGAGACAGAAACTTCGGGTCAACACAATGGTAAGAGGAGGTAATGGTGGAGGAGGAAGAGGAGCAGGCGGAAAAGGAAGGTCCAGGGGGCTGGGTGAGATAGTGAGGACACAGATCTGATGTGGGTCAACTGGATCTTTGAAATTCGGAATCCAAACCTGGAGATGACTATCTGTGTGGGCTCAATGGGGACGGGTGTTCCGTGGGCCGCCGAGGGCTTTGCGGGTTAAGGCGAGCTAATTAAGTTATTGAACATTAGCGTTATATTTCGTGCACGCGACACACAGAGCGACATGGAATTTTAAATAACCAGGGACAATTAAAAAGAAAAAAAAAACAGAAGAAAAAATGAAGAAGAAAACAGAAGAAAAAAGGTCGAATTGAGAACCGGCAGAGTGTCCTGCGGATTGTTGAGTTCTGTTGTGCGCGAGGGTTGGTGCTTTTCCTTTTCCGTTTTCTTCTCCTTTTCCTCCTTTACCTCCTCCGCCTCCTTTTGATTTGTTGCATCACCGTTAATGATCACTTCTCCCTCAACCTTCTCCCTCAAATTTCATGTCGCATTTTCCTCCAATCCTCGCCGACCAACGGAAGACCTACATGCGGTAATGGATCCTCAAGACCGAAACGCTGCTGCTACTGCTACTGCTACTGCTGCTGCTGCTGCTCCTGCGCTTGCGCAGTCCCTTAATCTATACTTGCTGGCAACTTGCCGAGTTCAGGGACACTCGCATGCAATGATTCACTCATGTCCAAAATTCGTTGCGCGCGATGGATTTATGCCGCGTACAGCTGGTACAGTACTGTGAGCCACTTGATCCTGCTGAGCTGTCGGTTACACGCAACAAGCCCAAACGGGAAACCAATTTTGGATCCTGTCCTTCTTTGCAGCGTTGTCCCCCCTTATCCAGTGCCTCGCCTTGTGCAATCTCAATGCGCTTTCAAGTTCAAAGTGTGGGCGATCAGAGGTGTTGCTCGCCTGCCTGCTTGCTTACGAAGGGGGAATGTTGTGAGCGATGTTATCAACTGGGCGGCGGATTTGAGAGGGGGCGAGAGGGCGGCGGCCCAACATTACATCGGTCATCTTGCCCTGGAGGAGGTGGGCACATGTGCTGCAGCTGCTATTGCTTCTGCTACCTCTGAAAATACCTTTTCGACTTGCCGTTGCAGTGGCAATCGTATTAGTTGGTTGTGCAGCAGTTGCAGTAATATCTGTGTGTGTGAGGGAGTGTGTGTGTCTCATCAACCCGATGAAGGAGCACTGGGGAGCTGAAGTAGCTGGTACCCTGTACGGCACCTTGAACAACCACAAATACGCGCGAAGTGCTTCATCAGCATCTCGAGAGGCCTTTTCAGCGGCCAGCCACTACAATTGGTACCGAGACCTCGTACATGTAAACAATCCTGAAGTCATCCCTCCGAATATCCACACATGTTGAAAATCGGGTCAGACGATTAATTGCACGAAGTGATAAAGTAGCTGTGGTTACGTGGCAAGACTCTGTGCCTGAAAACCTTAAAGACGATGTACACTGTTCACCCACAGCCCGCAGGCGGGTAGGCGAACGTAGGCACAGGCTGGTGTATGTGGCCGTAAGGGTCCGAGACGGATCCCTTCAAAGGGGGAGGAATGTAGCAGCTGGTACTTAGAACAGCACCTTGAACAAAAACGGGAATGGTTGCATTATGATCCCCTCCGCTGCTGCCCCTCCACTTTACTCCAATCAGGAATCTGAGTTTGTATGTGTGTGCTACATGGTCGTCGGGTGCATTCCCGTACTACCTGCAAACAACCCAATACAAGCCAAGTGCTCAAGGGCTGCCAGATCGCCCATAAGCACCATCCTAACTCGCACTTCAGACTTAGCAAATGATAAAGGAGACTAACGACCAAAGGGAACGATAGATTTGCGGTGGGACCACATCCCCTCCGACTTCAATCTTCCTCTCCCTCACAGAAATTCGCTTCTGTTTATTTGCTTTGCTTAATACGCACATCTGCAACTGTTGTAGACCCCGCTGGCTCGTCCCAACAGCTAACTCGGCGCTATGCTCTCAATCCAGGCATGAACAGCGACAGCGTTTGCATCCCTCACATATTGATTTTTTCGGGTCTTGGCCCGGCTCCTGGCCTCCTCCCAGTCCACCGGGCAGCCCTCGGCGTGCAGCCACTGAAGGACCTCTACGGTACTGCCCCTGTCGTACACCGCTCGGCTGAAGACACCAGGGCCCCAGGGGCAGTCCAGCCGCCTCAGGCAACGCAGCATGACCAGGTCGTGATGGTGTGCTGCCGTTACGTAAAGCTCACCATCATCCTGCAACATAGCAACGAGCGAGGCTTATGAAGCTGGTTCCCGAGAAAACAGCCGTAATAGATGGCGGCTGAAAAGGCCTCTCGAGATGCTGGAAATGTGCTCCCAGCATGTGTATGAATTGACTGCGTGCACCAGAGTGTACGATCACTACTACATTCCGAATACATAAATGCAGATCATCAGACAGTCAAATGGAAACCTAGTGACAGGTCCTTTACCATCCAGTCCAGAGGTCAGCAGCAGAAATGATGCAGACCAGATGAAAGACAAGAATGAGAGTCCTTCACATCGCAATCGGCCAAGACGCCAGCAGACGCCAGACAGTGCGTGGCATACATTCAGTGATAAGCGGTAGAGCTGAGCAACACCAGCAGCACGCATCAAGAACATGCACAGAAGTCACGCAAGCGAGCCACTCACCCCCATGGGGACGCCCCGGGCCACAAGCCACTCCAATACTGCTGGACTGCCTGCCGCCACCGCTAAATTGAAAAACTTCTCTCCACTCCAGGGCAAGTCTATCTCATTTAACAGCCATTCCATGACCTCCACACTACCACACGATGTTGCATATTTCAACAGAGTCCGGTGCTGCTGCGCCAGCTCCTGGATGCGCTTCCGAACAACACCTGCACCCATCCATTTAAGAATGTGCAGGTGACCTCCCTCAACTGCAGCCTGCGCAGTCCACCCATCAAGCCGCCAGCCCAAGGTCACCAGCTCGACCAGCAGCGCCTTGTTGCCGGCACTGGCTGCTGTTACCACAGCCTCCTTCGTGCGTCCTAGAAGCCAGTCCCTCCCCACTCGCAAGTAGCGTATCAGGGGCAGGTTACCAAAATGTACGGCGCAGGTGAAGATATCCATTACGACATCCTCTTCCTCTCCCTCTACCTCCACAAGCAGCCACTGTGCCCGCTCCACAGCATCCGGACGGCTGACAAGGGCCCCCGAATCGAAGTACTGTTCGCCGTGGAGGCGGCAGCCTTGAGCCTGCAGCCACTCCACCTTGGCCCGCCAGTCGGGGGTGGGGCTCACCAGGGCCTCCGCAAGGGTGGTGCGGGTTAGCAGCCTGCTGGCATAGTTGCCACTACCACCACCGTAACTCAGGAAGGTCTGGTGTAGATCCTGCAATGCCGCCAGGTCGAAGCCATATGCAGCTCCCGTGACAACATCGGGCATCCACGGCTTTCTAACTCTCGACACTGACCCGTATTCTAGCTCAAATCGCTGAAGGAGCCAGTGTGTGAGGCTCACATGGCCCCTGCGGGCGGCGCCAGTAAGACCCGCCCAGTAATCCAACGGAGTACCGTCCTCCAGGAGCCCCTCACACACAGTCTGATGACCGGCACAGGCGGCTGCTATATATGCTTGGGAACCAACATTCCGTAGCTGTCGAAAACAAAGCTCCTGTTGCAGTAGCCACCGGACCGTTTCCAGATGGCCACTTCGGGCAGCTGCTGCTGCCACTTCCTCAGAAACGTGGAAGCAGTCTTCTTCCTGCAGCCACTGGCACATCTCAAGATTGCCGCCCTGGGTTGCTGCGTAGAAGACCTCGCAGGAGAGCTCGCAGCCCGCTGTCTTGACGGCGACCTGTAGGTTGGCCAGGCTGCCGCTGCGGGCCGTCAGGAGTAGGAGCTCTTGGCGTTTACTTCGTGTGAAGTTGTGAACTGCCTCCGGGCGGCTCCAGTGCCTGTTGAACGCGTGATGGGGTACGGGCTGCGACAGCCGGATAGCTACTTTTTCCCGAAACTGGCTCGCCATAGCCTTATTGATTTCCTTGACGGTACATACCACCTCGTTTGGATCCAGGAAGCTAACAACACGCTCGACAAGGTCCGCCGTTAAATTATCCCAACTCTGACCTCCGTCAGGATTCATGTTTTCCGTCTAAAAAAGAAAAAGGCAAGTTGACAAGGACGATAATTTCAACGTCTGAGAAAGTGGTCTTTAAAGCAGTACGCGGCTGGTTACAATAGCAAACCGCCTGTAACAGACACTGTGCATCAGCACACTGAGTGTCCAGCTAGATCGGGGCAGGGCGCATACCTGACACAAGCGATAAAAGCCCAGGACGAGCGTATAAGAAAGTCGAAGCATAGCCTTACCAAGGAATATACCACCTGGCAAAACCGGATGCGAGCCTTCGCCCCAGAAAAGCCAAACGGACCTCCAAGACGCAAAACGCCCAGTCCCCCACCAGTACCCAGAAGCCCTAGTGATCGCACAGAGAGCTCCCACCGGACAGACGGGAACGCAGCTACCTACCATACGAGACGGACCCGCGAAGCACGCCGAGCCGTTCACACAGACCGACGAGGGCGACTAAATTCAAACACACAAAGGGCGAAGTATAAACCCTCAGACCAACACACACGAAACGCGGAACACGACGAAATCCTGTCACTGGCAGTGTGGGGCCATCTTGGTTTTGGAAGCGTCGTCTCAGAAAGGCTTGGAGCTGCAGCTGACTATGGAGCAGCTGCTCCATAGCCTTGATATACCAGATCAATTCCGAGGAAGAGCAACGACGCCAGAGCATAGGGGGACGTGAAGGGCGATGTGAAGCCCCAGACAGTCCTTCATAACAATGAATGTTAGTTTTTCTAGTTAGTTGTTGAGTAGTTAGCTCGACTCACGAACGCGCGCCTTGATCAGAGATGTTGTATGACATTTAGGCGCCATCTGGGCTCTGGATAACTATTTAAGTCGTTATTGTTGTTTAGGTTGTTATGTCATCTTTATTGCATCCTGTGGTATGCTAGCAGGCTTAAGTCGCTCGGCCCTCGGTGTAACTATCTTGACAACCCAACTACAACCGGAGTCCTTTCCTTTTCAGTTGGTAACGACTTAGGCGATCCTGCCTACACGCTTCCGTGCTGTTCATCTTCGTCTTCGTCTCGTCTTCCTCCGCTGATGCCCTCGTTCCTTCGACATCCACCAGCAACCGCGACCGCTCCCGTTCGCGGTCCGCTGAGATCCCGGAGCACGTTCACGCGTCTCCTTTTACAACACACGATCCCGTCCCCATCGCCCCCGTCGTCAACCCCGCTCCCATCGCCCCCATCGCAGAACTCCACGATGAGCCGCCGGTAGACAAACCGGAAAAACTCTCTTGGGCCAAAAGACCGACAAAAGTGTTGAAGGTCTCGAAAACTCAACTGACTGTTACGGATTAAGTTAAGGAATAAATTATCCTCTCTCACAAATCTGCCGATATTTTGTAGCGTAAAATGTGCCTGTTATAGATCTGACCAGAAACGCGCGACAAGTGCTGAAATTAATAAGGGAAACAGACACTGTCATCGACAGTCTGACAATTTGTCAACTCACAAGTCCATACAAAGGGCCAGGGAGGGCCGTACCTCGAGCGAGGACCCCCAAACCGGCTTGCGTTAGCCTAACGACGACAAACGGCTTTCAGTTAGTATGTCCCAAAACATTCTACATTGCCTCGCTGTTTTACATTTATGGCTGCTTGCATAACAAATTGCGGGATGCGAGGCGAAGTGCACTGTTGCTTACTTCTGAAGTCGCAACTCGCAAGTCGCAACTCGCAACTCGCAACTCGCAACTCGTCACTCGCAGCTCGCAGCTCGCAACGCGCAAGGAACACGCAAAATTTCTATTATTCTTTTTATGCGAATACATACGTGTGCATACATGACTCCGTTTGTAGAACGGATCTCACAATTGGAGAAGTATTGAACCGTTACTACTACAGCAAACAGGTGCGCGAACGTGTTTGCCACCTCTATTTCGATGAGAATTATACGCAAGCGCAAATAGCTGAAGCTTTCGGGCACAGACCTTGCGAGAGGACTGTGCATGCTCCTACCTGGCGAATAGTATTTAGGGGGGGTCTCAATTTATTCCGACCTAAGTAACAAAGTTGCTAGGGTCGCCGTAATTTATTCCGTAAGTGTGGGGCGCTTGGGGGGGCTACGCCCCCCCCAGACTCCCCCCGATAAGTTACGACTCCCCTCATAGACCAAGATTCACGCACTGAGTTGGCGCGTTTTCGTCCATGTGCGCACTCTTCAAGCACATGCATAGATAGTTCTGGCACTGTTTGTGAGCAATAAGTAAATCCGACCAAGCAAAGGCCTTTATCAAGAAAAATTTCAGGCTTATCTTGCTGTTTTGGTGTTTGTTCGACGTTCAAGTCGTTGCCTTTTGCGTGTTTGGCTATGTGAGGACCGGTCATACATTCTGCTATGCCGCGTTGACTCACGGGCTTGACCTTCTTACGGCCCCTCATATCCAGTCTATGATCGATAATACCAAGTTCTGCACACTACGGAGCAATCTGGCAGCAATGGACGTTTTTGGCTGGAGGAATGAAAATGTACGGATCGGCCTCAATTCATTCCTTTTTTCCAAAAGCCAAAATGGCCTCTTTATTCCTTATAAGGAATATATTACTTAAAAAAAACACTGTGTAGAGGGATGGTCATACTAGCTCCGAGGCCTCAGGCATGTAGTAGCTGGTACACAGTACGGCACACATAACGCCTACAAATACGCGCTAAGCGCTCCGCCAGCCTCCCGAGAGGCCTTTTCAGCAGCCAGCTACTACAATTCATTACTGGCCATGACCTCCAAATAGAAAGTATATCAAATACCCCAGGACCAACAAACCTCCGTGTGTGTACCGGCGTGTAAGGGGATCACCGAGGGAGGGGTTAGGGATCGTTAGCATGCTTTTCCCGCAGGTATACGCCTGCGGGCCCTGTCCATAATGACAGTCTACCGAAACCGTACACAGGCACGTGCTTGGATGCGCAATAAACCCGGCTCTCCAAAGCACCATCTCAGGAGTCATCGGGTGCTCATCTCAGGCTGTTGATATAACCATGGCAAAGGCCCCCTGCATTGCTCGGGGGCCGGACTCGGACCCTACTGACATACTGACATACTGCACTTCTCAAACATTTTTGGTACCACCCGGTTTCGTACCCGCGCCTCTGCAGTCACAAAATCCCGTCCATAAGCATATGGACTTTTTCGGCGATCACTTTGTCGCTGGTCGGCCCATTCGCCACGGGTTTCGTGCCACCCCAGCAGCAGCTGGCGCGCTAAGGGAAGCGCATCTAGAACTTTATCTTTCCTCCTCCCCAAGGTGATGTACTCGCCAACGGGCCCATTGTCGGCGAGGGGGCCGTACGCGGTGCCTTAACAGAGCCGCGTCACGCAACAACAATACGGCAGCAGCGATGCCGGGATCGACAACTCGCTCCCAGACCTGCCGTAAACGGCCTCCCGCAGCACCATCACTACCACCACCACCACCACCCTTACCTTCATCGTCATTCCCGCAGAGATGGGCATTCTAAGGGATGGGTGGCAATGTCGCCGCCCTCACCGCTTGTCGCGCCATATGGCTGTAGCATCGACAAAACATTTGTGCGTAGTACGTACGCTGCCTAATGCCCCGCTTCCACCAAGAGGGGCCTGCTGCCCACGGAACACAACTACTGCAGCTACAGCCCACATGCAGGGCCCCACCTGGAGGCTAGGTGCCCGCCCGTACGTACAGCATACGGCATTTGTCACATGTGATGAATATCGTGAGAATGGGAACATGGAACCAAAACGTGGTTCCGGCAGGCAGAGAGATCTTGGAGGCGAGATTGGCAGAGGGGTATAAGCGGGTACATTCTTGCCACACAATCTCCGCGTCTCACGTCCTATTTACCGTCTTTCCTCTTTGGTTTTAACATCTCAGTGTGAATATGCGTACGCACATGCTTTGTTGAGGCTACAGTTATATGACGCGACGTTGTATGGGTATCTGGGCCCCTAACAGCGCCCTGTTTCTTGCGTCGGTCGCAAGATGCTTTCACTCAGTCGGCCTTCGCTTCCCTCACCCTGCTAAGTAGCAGGCTGTCCAGGACAGGGCCTTTGTTATGCTGGACGTGCAAAGCAAAAGGTGGCGACATGGGTGCATGCGCCCTTGCATGCATGTATGCATGTGCGGGTGCGGGTGCGGGTGCGGGTGCGGGTGCGGGTGCGGGTGCATGAGCGTCCAGAGCGAGCGGGCATTCGCTGGGATCGATGAGACGGCGACTGCAGGAAGCGACTGCGAGCAGACAAACGGTAACCAGCGTGTGGAAGAACGTCTTCGTCGCCCCTCATGATCCCGCGGACCACCGGACATTCAGGATTCCGCTGATAACGGATCGCTTGATTCGATGAATTCAGACGAGCGAATGGTGCTCGAGGTGGCAGAGGGGCAATCATCGTATTAGCCCTGACCCTGGCCTTTGCTCTAAAGTTCTGACTTGTTCTGGTGCTTGTACGGTTTTCGTAACCATTAGGCGTGTAGATTAAGCCGCCTAGGAAGGTATTACAAGGGGAACCAACGACCAAGTCGGTCACTAGCCGTACAGGCACAGCGGACTGTTCACCCTAACCAAGGCGATTTCATGGTCGGAAAAGGGCGCTGGAAGGGCATTATGGCATTCCCCGCGAAGGGAGGGAAGGGAGGCACTGGATGGACAGGTTCATGCTCGGTACGTCTTTTCGCTTCGTCACTCTTGCCTGTCGTTGCACTGGTTTGGGCCATGCATGAACCCAGCAGAAGGTGCTGCATTGCACGTTCCTGGTGCCGTACTTGCAGTTAGTTTTGTGAATACGTACTGTTTTACTGCACGGAGACAGTTCTGTCGGAAAGCACAGGATTGCAATAATCCATCGGAAACAAATTGCAATTTCCAAGCACTACGATAAAGAAGATGATAAGTTGCGGCTTTCAGCCGGCAAGGCAACATGTGTTTAACGCTGTGAATTTCGCGCCGTCCGAAAGGCAACGCGCGAAATGAAGTGCTACATACTCTTTAATTAATATATCTCAGCTTAAAAATAATATCTATCTATAT